TTTTGAAAAAGTGGCATTTTTGTAAAGATTTCAAAAGTGTGGTATTTTTGTAAAGTGGCACTTGAAAAGTGGCATTTTTTGAAATTTCTCAAAAAAACAAAACATATATTTTTTTGTTTAAGAAACAAAAAAAAAGAGTAAATTATATTTCAATTAAAACGCACCTATTTGCCTATTTTACTGTAAATATTTTCGCTAAATATATTTAAAACCCTAAAAAGGTAAATATACTTTCTTTGGACCGTTTTGGATCGAATCTCAGAGATCTAATACCAACAACAATCACGCATGAGAAAATGTTTTAGGATTTTGATTCTAAAGTTGCATCTATCTCACTCTTCTTTTTGGGCGTTCAATGAAAGGAAGCAAAGATTTTTTTGGATGTTCTGAAAACTTTTACAACTGCGTCCCACTACCAATTCATTTCTCAAGATAAAGATAGGAAATGGGGATGACACATTTTTCTGGTGGGATCCATAGACATCATTTGGTTCATTGATTCACTTTCTTGGTCATGATGCACCTACTCGGCTTGGAGTTCCACTCATATCACTTCGGAAGGGTGGAGATTGCCTCCTGCAAGGACAAAAAAGGTTGAACTTCTTACCTTTATATCCACAATCCTTTCAGGTTCGTTGTGTGATCAACCTCTTTGGTTAATTGATGGTTAGGTGCAAAAGCCTTTCTCTTCAAGAAAGATATGGGCAGTGATTCGTGAGACACGTGACGTGATGTGGTACCATGGTATTCGCAAGTGTCTCACAGAGCTAGGATCCCTAAACAAGCTTTCACGGTTTGGCTTTTTGTTCTAAACCGCAAGCCAACTTTGGACCGGTTACATAGGTAGGGATGTGATGTTGAACAAATTTGTCTTTTGGGTGGGGTGGAGAATGAATCGAGAAACCATCTCTTCTTTGAATGCTCATTTTCAAAGGAAGTTCTTTCTTTCACCCCTCCATTCTTTTGGGACGACATATTGATTTGGCTTTCAACGGCAAGCGAGAACAAG